CACAGTAAACAATGGTGTTTATAAAAGATTGTGTTTTCTTCAGATAAATGTATAATTTCCCCCCTTTTATAGAAAACATCTTGCTCAGCCTCATTCATGCTAAAATGGCTTTTTTTATAACATGTTTTGACTGAGGGGGGTGATGATGATGGAAAACATGGCCTCCCATGACTCAGTGGGAAGAAGTGAGGAAACACTGACTGTTTACAGTGATTTTATATAAGCTAACTGTAATATTTTATATATGTACATGCATATACTGACAGATTTTGTGGCCACAGATGAAGCAAAACACCTTTATATATTTTGAAATCACAATATAGTGGCCCTTACCTAAAAAGGCCCCGACATTTGGTCGCCGAACAGTCCAGAAGTTCGTTTCAAAGTGAGCAGAAGAAGATGCAGCTTTCACTTTTCGTTTAAAACACGCAGAGATGCTCTGGTTGATAAAGCTGAGCTGAAAGCCTGGAATTATCGCAAGCTCATCTTGTACTTTCCTACTCCAAACAAAATGAGTCCAGCCGCAGCTCGAAACGCGGGGAGTACAAAGTGAAAAGCTAAAGAAAAAAAATAAAGAATATTTCCGATTCTACGTTTTTATAAAAGCCCCCCGGACCGTTACAAACACCGCCCGACTATAATACCAGCTGACGACAATGTTAGGCAGACCGTAAAAATAAAAAAAATAAAAAAAACTACCATATAAGAGATTAGAAACTACCATACGAAACTACTGTACACCAAAATATGGCGATAAACTAGAACGGGACACCACACGATTAAACTAAGGTCCGACATCCTGGAGGCTCCTGCTTCCTCTCGCTTCATCTGGTGGGCGGAGCTTGTAGCTGTCATTCTGCTCTTCGAGCTCGTGCACGAACGAGTTATTTGTGAATCCGCGCGTGTGTTTAGTTTTGACTCGTTTGTTTGTGTTTATTTGTTTGGTTATTTGTTTCTTTCTTTCTGCGTTTGTTTGAGACGTCTCTGTAGTTTTAAATAATATCAGCGACAGCTGAGTAGTTCGTGACGTCAGCTGGTGAGCGTGCAGATTTGTCCTCGCACGTGAAGCTGCTCAGAGCCACAGCTTATTAATAAGCTTGCTACACTTCCAGGTCAAACTTTATTAAATGTGAAACTTTGATAAACACTGAACTAACAAAATGTTTTATTAACATTTTGATGTTCGTTTGTTGTTTTTACGTTCTTGCTTCATGATTAATCTTTTGTTTTATGATTATTTGCTGAAATCGACAAGTTCAAATAGTTTTAGTCCATTAATATATAGTTATTTTTTAGTTTGGTGTCCTAGTTGATTTTTTTCTATTTGGACTTGTGCATCTTTGACTGGATGCTCTTCATGCAGAGATCACTGCAAAATTATCAGTTTTTCTAATTGTCTGATTTTACTGTTTAGGTGTGCGTTTAAGTAAAATGATTTTTTTATGACCTACTGACATTTCATCAGCCTTTCAAATCAAAATGTTGCTATTGAGAGCATTTAATTGCAGAACATGACAAACGGAGAGAATATAAGAACAGGTGCTGTGCAGGAAAGAATGTTGTAATTTCCTCATGCATGCTGTAATTTGTTTTAGACATCAGCATACTAATGTTTGAACTTGGGAAGAGATCAGAAATCAATACTTGGTGCAAAACTCATGATTTTATTTTTTTTTAATTATTATAATAATTATTATTATTATTATTTTTATAACGGTTGTTTGCTCGCCACCAAGTATTTTGCTTGTCAGGTGTGTTTTTTTTTTGTTTTTTTTCCAGAACAAAGATTCAGTCAGCTCAGCTGTATTTGATGGTTTGTAACCGTCCATCTTCTTCTTGCTCACATTCCAGGGGTTTTCAGTGGTCCAGGTCTGAAGACTGAGCTGGACATGACATGGTCTGATGGTCCTTCATCCTCACCTGAACCCCAGTAACTCTTTAGGCATGGTCAATTGTTTTTATTCCAGATGTTTTTGAGCTACTAAATCCAGCCAATCCTTGCATAATAATTACTACAGCAGTGGTTTTTATACTTTTTTTCATTCATTAAGATATGGGGCCAGTCATCATCTAATCAGTGCCACATGAGGTTTGCTTGTAGAAAAAGTTATAAAGTTAAAACTTATAAGAAAACATTTGTTTGCATATCTTGCTTTAAGAAAAAAAAAAAAATAGAACAAATTTATCCAGGAAAAAACACAAGATCCTTTTTATTATTTTTTCCTCACTTGCCTTCGAGCAAGATGTATGCCTTTTCTTTCCTCTCCTGCCTTCCTCCCTTACTTTTGCTCTTTGTCCTGTGTATCGAAGCTTCTATTTTTACACATCTTCCGAATCGTAAAATACTGTTAGGGATTTGGTCAGCTGGACTTTCATCACAATAGATACAATTTTTCAACCAAGCGACAGGGTGCTGGAGAGCCCTCATGCCCCGGACAAACGCACGCGGCTGGATACGTCATGGATCCGAGGGGGGAGTGGAAGATGATGTTTCTGTTTGTGTTGTCTCTGATGGATGTTGAAGATTTATACATCGTTGGATTTATGATAGCAGGGTTTCTGCTTTTTGGCACCGGCGGATACCTATGTTATCGGCTATTAAGGAAGACGGCGGCAGCAGTTTCGGCCATGGCAAAGCTGCCTACCTTATGTGAAGGATTAATTTGTGCTTTGAGCACTCCGATAATTTACAAGCTCAACCGTAAGCTGGAAGCGATTTATGAGAATCATAGGCCTCTTGCGGCTTCTGGAGGATGTTGGAATCGACCTTGGAGAAGGCTAATAAGCACGGACCAACGGAAAGCCCACAAATCTGTCCATTTTGGATCATCGAGAGCACCAGCAGAACTCCAGGCTGATGAGAAAAACAGTCTGCCTGCACAAAAACAACTGTGGCTTATCTGAATCTGGCCTCCCCGTTCGGCCTTGAATAGGCCAACTTATCAAATTGCTCCTGGGGATGTGTAAACTAAGCGGGCTCTGCTCTACCCACCCCCGCAAACTACTGTGAATGTTTATCAGAGCTGTACCGGATGACGCTTTAACATCTTATCAGGACTATGGTGCTATCTGGAAGTGTTTCATGGACAAATCTCACCGTCTTGCCGTCAACTGCACATGTAATGTGTTTATAAATGTGCTTGCTGGTGGATTTTTTTTTATGTCTTAAACCATGTCCTGACAAGAACAAGGTGTGAAGAGATCTTTTTTTTAATACCCACTATCCTCCTGGGCTTTACCCTTTTCTTATCTAAAGAATAAGGGTCCATGCTCCTAGGAGCTGCAGCCACGTACACTCCGACCATCTTTCGGACGACTGTACGGAATACAATATGGCTGTACTTCTGTGCATTGATAATAAATCTTATTCTGATTCTGATTATTCAGTTGGTCCAGTAATTTTATAAGTTTTAGGCTAATTGCTCTTGGATAAGCAAATGTAAAATAATTTTAATGCATGTCAATCTGTTCAATATTTGGCCCATATATAAAGAAAGAGGAACACAGTGTAGTAACAAATTGCTTTAATATATAATTTAAATTTGGTTTATTAGTTACGTAGTTATTTGTACAAAAAAAACCTGCCTTTTTTGCTTAACTAATTCGTTTGTCGGTGCAGTGTCAGTCCAAACTGCTGAAAATATAATATAAGAGAAGGGGAAATGCTCAATGTTCAAAGGAACACCTTCAAAAAGAACTGTTGATCAGTTTCAGTGTTAATGTCTGGTTTCTTTCAGGGGAAAATAGACTTGGGAGGCAGCGGAAGACGTTCTGAAAAGCAAAAACTGAAAATTGATCTGCACTGCATGATTTATTTTTACATGAAGTGTTTGTTTTTTTTCAGGCAGGAAAAAAAATCTGATAGGAATTTATTTTGCCTCCAACTACTACATGTGTCCAGTTAACCACTGTTTTTGTCTTTGCAAACAGGTCTCACTTGTAAATGAGTCTTTGAGGCTCAATGTGATTTATCTGTTTAAATAAGGGTTGAATGGAAAAAATGAAAAGCATTTTAAAATTTTATGTGGTGTGTGTTGTGGTCCAGTCTCAGCTTCATATTCAAAGCTGCACAACAAGAGAAGTTTGCTGAGGGAGGATGGTTCAAGCAACATTTTATTTGATAGTCTAAGAAGAATGTGACACAAAACTGGTTGATCCACCCTGAGACGGTGCTATTTAAGAGACTGAGCTGAATACAGCTCCTCAGACTGAGGAAGTCTCTCGGATGAGAGACGAAACGTTTCTACATTTTTTTGTTGATTTGCTTTGTTTTTTTTTGTTTTTTTTGAATGTCCAGAGGACCAGATTTAACTTTTTTAGATTTTTCTACCTGGATTATTGAGCATGCATCAGGATAATGTGACACAAAAGCTGACTTTAAAAGAAAAGAAAAACACTAGTTTGATTTGAGTTTGAATTTACGTCCACATTGCTTTAATGTGTGTTTTAGACAAATGCATCCACTAGAGAGCAGCCTCTACCCTTTAATCCCTCATGACATGATTTTTTTTTATGTCTCTGCATGAAATGCATTGGAAGTTTAAACTTTAAATCATAAAGTGTGATCATGTGTTTTCTCCAGCCTATAAATCATACGCATCATATACGAGGTTCAGATAATGTCTTTTCACTCTGGTTTACTCAGCAGGAAGCTTTTCGATGTTACTCAGTTTATTCAGTTTATTCACACACACAAAAAGAACCATAATGCATAACTGCAAAATATCAGTGCATGAATCAAGTCTCTAAAAAGTCTCTATTTACAGCTTATAGACGGAGTCTGGGTACATATTACATACAAATTATAACATATTAAAATAACATCACAATAAAACATTCAGATGAAAACAAAGAAAAGGGGTTGCATGAGGTAGGAACGCAATGCAAACATATTTTTAGATGGATTGTATGGGGGTGGGGGGGTACTTCAGCTGCTGTCTGTTAAATCAGCTTGCCATAAAGGGGTGAGGCATAAAATGAAGTGTCTGGAAAGGTGGAGAATGACAACACTGACAAGTGAACAGCAGCTGAATACAGGAGGTAAGTTTCTTTTTGTTTTTTTTTTGTTTTTTCAAACCTAATTTGTGATGGAGATAAATGAACTATTTGGTCTATTCTTCCGCTGAAAGCTAAACATTCTCACTGTCTTTCAACTTGTTTTCCTCCGTGATGGAATCATGATTTTTCCATGCTGTTTCTTGCGCCATTACCGGAGCAGAAAACATTTATTAACCAGAATTTGACCCGCTCAGTTTGTTTTATGGATCCAAACTCAAATTTGTTTGATGAAAAAGATAACACAATTGAATATTTCTCTTATTCAAACAAGATTGAAACCATGCGTCCCTGAGCTGAATTGTTAAATCTAGAATTTCCTTTTTAAAGCAACATTTTTCTCACTTTCAGTCCAGTGGATGTTTTAACCATGAACCAGAACTTGATGCTCGTCTTGTTTCTGCTTGTTCGTTTTAATTCAGCCCTGGTAAGTTTATTACTAATCATGTTTTAAAGAAAATTTAGATGCATTTATGTGTTTTTATTTCCATTTTTCACATGCTTGTTGTTAAAGGTAAATTTTTCTGTATGGGTCAAAGCTAAAATTCCAACGTTGTGGTAACGTGGCTCCTGGACTTTCACCTGTTTCACATTTGATCTGGGAAAACTTTAGGAGCAGATGTGGACCTGGCATGAACTACAAAGAGTCCTTTAAGACCAGAGCTTAAGATGTGAAGATATAGTTGTGATGGTTTCGTATGGTTCGTTTATATTATTTGCAATAGATTCAGTTGAATGTCTCACAATTCAGATTGGAGGTTTAAAATGAGTCTGTAGGTTTACAATGAAAGATGCTTGAGTTGAGTGCATGCTTCTTAAACTAAACTGATGTCATTTTCTGTAATCGGCATAAAAGAGAACTTTCAGAATAATGTGTGTTTGTGGTTCAGGGTGGAAGGGCTCAGCGCAGGCAGAGACAAGCCGAAGAGAGGCTGAGCCCTTATATCGGCAGAGTGGAGCCAGGTAACGTTTTGATGCCACTTATCTACTTTTCTTAGTGCAAATAGAGCAAAAAATAAAGAAATATGCTCAGAATGGTTTAGACAATGTGTAAAAGTGTGACACAGTTTATTATTTTTATGTTCAGTTTTACATTTAAATTTTAACTCTGGCAACAAAAACATTTTCAAAAGGAATTTTTAGTTGGCATTAGTAAATTTGTTAAACACTCATGACTGAGAAGATTGGCATTGTCTTCCTATAT